GAGTTTCTCTCCTTAAAACCATAGAGAAAAGCTTTCGATATATATTTTTAGTGGGGGTTTTTTCTGAGAACCACAGATAAACAACATACTTATATTTTTTAGCTGGTCCACTGAAGATGTTCAACTGTAAAACAAAGTGTGGTAATATAAAGTACTGAAAATACACGATAAAAGAAGCAAGAATAAAAACGCACTCACTTGGATCTCGAGTCAAAGTAGAGAAACTATAAAATATACACAAAACACATTCTACGGCATTCAAGTTTGGGCTTCCTGCTTTAGGCTGTCATTCAAAGAGTTTGTATTGTAAGCAATTTTTCTTTTGCCCTCTTCCAGTTTTCTTTGTGTGCCACTGGCGACCATCATAAGAAAACACCTTTGTTTATGTTTTCTCTCGCGCAACCGCCTCTTCTCCCTTTTGCCCCGTTTCTTCAAAAGATGTGTCATCTTTTTTACGTGATAGATCTGGACCTGCAGGAAAGCCCTCCCTGTCCAGCTGTTTTGTTCTGGGGAGAGTGATGGGGGGTCAACATGGGGGAGAGGGAAAGAGACAGAGGGGAAGTCTTAGAGCTGTGTTTGAAGGGCTTCTCCTTCTTAGCTCCTATCATGTTAGCCATGAAGATGTGTGTGTGTATGGGAGGGAGAAGGAGAAAGAGAGAACTGGGGTCTGAATATTTCCACACAGCCCTCACAGCAAAGGCATTTCCATAGCAGGTGGTCTGGCTCAGCCGCCATCTGGAGGCCTCGATGGCCAGATAACCTTCGCTATTTACAAACCCCAAACTTTGTTTAGACAAACCCTCTAAAAGCCATGTGATGGCCAAAAGAAACTTCAGGCTCACTTTTGTTTTTAACCATTGAGACCTGGGAAAAGAGAAAGTCATGCTGAATTTCCCCAAGACACAAAGAACTTGGAATATGTAAATAAATAGTGAATTAGAATAAGATTCTGTAGATACCTCTCAGATGTCTCGCATACCAGAAATCAAAGCCCATAAAGTGGAAATTCATGGGGCTGCACATGAAGTAGTTTCTTATTATATCCCTGACAAAGAGTAAAAATAATCATTTAATTTACATGCTATTACATATCAGTCTTTCTCTTCCGTGATATGGGAAATGATCCAGCAGGGAAGTTAAACAAAGAAAAATCTGTCATTTTTAAGACGGTTTTCCTAAATCTGAATTTCCTTCTGTTCTATTTGCATGTCTTTCTTATTCTGAGACAACCTGGCAAGAATGAAACAGATCATTCCAAATTATGGTTAAGAAAATCTCCACCTCTAATTTCACTGCCAGATCTCCCTACGCAACAAATTATTTTCATAGACTACAGCAGGTGCAGAGCTGGTTCAGGAGTTTTCTTGAAAACTAGGTCATTTGCATTGTAGATAAACCTGAGTTCAACACTCTTTGAATTTAGTTTGCACATTTTTTCCCCCCATGCAGCACTCCTCCTTCCCAGTGATTGGGAGTGTAATACAGGCCGACTGCATTAAAGCCATTTCCGCTAAGTGAAATATGTGTCCCATCAGTGCGGCTCATTCATTATTTATCCGTTTGCTCACATCTGAAACAAACCTGGAAAAAAACAAAGCTGTTTATGGCCCTGTGGGTTGGAGGAACACTCACTGATGTCATCCAGGGCATGTGCTGCATGCTGATTTATTCGGAATGTTATTAACCTTTCCCTCCCTGGAAGGTTTGCATCACCTCGAAGTAAGCAAGAAAGGTAGAGTACTGAAAGAGGAAAAGTGTATCGAGGACTGGGTTGATTCACATTACTTGGGTCAATCTGGGCAAACCCTGTTTTGTCAAGTTCAAAGCAGATAGCATGTGGTTTTTCACTGTCCTGTGAGTAATTATGGATGGTAAAATAAAGTCACTATGATATTGTCATAACTGAGCAAGCAGCTGTGGATGATTTCCAGATGTCCTTTACGCATAAATGCATTTGCTACAGCAATAAAAATACTTTTGATTATATTTTCATTTTAAGAATAGCTGGAGCTATCATTGCAACTGGAACAAAGGCACATGAAAAGCCAGAGGAAGATCAGAGGGACATGATCAGAGGTCGGGATTCCAGGAAAATGGCATTATTGATAGAATTTTACTACGGGTAAGAGAAAGGGAAAGCTTGAGAGGAAGAGAAGGACTTCGGCTCTCAGTGTGCTCAGAATTTATCGCCTGATTGCAGGAGCAAGCAAGGAAATTAAGCGATAAGAAAATCAATTGAATACTCCTGGATCCATATAAATGTTCCTAATGTTCAAACTTCCCAGTAAAAAGCACAGAATGCAGCAGGAGAGGAGGGGTGGGGTGTGTGTGT